TTAAGTTTGCGTGAGTTGAATACATAAATCATTGCAACAAGTAAATTTATTTTTATTTTTTCATTTCACCTTTTATGTAGAAGGAAAATTCATTTTAGTTTTTCAGATTCGTGCTTAAAAATACAAAACTTAAAATGTGTAACGGTTATGTATAGGCACATAATAATAATACTTCATATAGGTTTAATTAACAAAGAACGACTTCACTATTACTTACATAGTTACCAACTAATACTATTAATTAAAATCACATAATATCAGCATCATGATTTTTGAAATAGAAAACAAAAAGATTGAATAACTCTACAGCTTGTGTCGCTCAAACGTGAGATATTGTTATCGAAACAACACGATTAGATTAATGTATTTGATTGACACACTCTACATATACCTAAATATGTTCAAAACTAGAAGAAATCGGATGAAACCACATATACCTAGTTGGTACCTACGCTACGTCATAGTAAAAATCGTTTAGAAAACAAAGAACAGATTTGCCACGTTTCTGTTCGAAAATCTGAAAAATTAACAAAGAGTGCAAACTGTTCCTTATCACATAAGCCCCTCGAAGGCCAACAGATTTTATGTCCTCTAATAAAATGCACTTACATATTTCGTAGAGCTGATCCTCCTCACTCGGTTGATCGGCTTCTTCTGCGCTCGCCTGTACTTATTCAAGTCTGCCTTGCTCACGTCCACAGCAGCCCCCTGGTCCTCCAGCACAAACCAGTCTGTCACGGACCCCCTCCTCACTGTCCTCACCCCTCCACTCTCACGTTTCACACTCAACACTCGCGACAACTCCACCTTAAAGTCCTCACTGATCTCACTAGCTTTGTTCACTTGCAACACTTTCGGCGACGGCAACGTGCTGAACGAAGAACTCTTCCTCTTTTCAGCTACTGGCAACACCTCGCCAGACTTCGTGTACGGCTCACTGTCACTCAGATAACTCTCACTGAACATTTCCACTGCTTTCTCGAAATCGTTCATGATGTCCTGCACTGATTGAGACTTGAACATGTTCACGACTATGCCACTGGAAGCCGACGTTCCAATTGACATGCTAGAATTGTTGGTAGACGATTCTGAAGCTGGAAACTCCTTGATGCTCTTCAGGAATACTCCATCATCGTTATCGTAGTACACATTAGAAGGGAAATCTAAACTGTCATTCGATTTCCAGTCATCCAGAGAGTCGGAACTGCCGAAGACGTAAGATATGCTCGTCTTTAAGGTTCTTTTAGACTTATCTGGCTTTTTCTCTACTTCCTCCTCCAAAGCCCTTGGAAGAAACTCGAAACTCTTACTTCGTATGTAAAGCCTAGAATGACGAGTGTTCTTCTTTTCGTTGTTCGTGTCTTTCTTTTCGTTATTCGTGTCTTTGTTTCCAAATATCCAAAAACGCTTGCTGCTCCTGTTTTCATTTTTGTCGATCTTCGGTGATCTGTCACCATGGTTGCTGTTCTTTTCCAAGTGCTGGTCGTCTTCGGTAATTGTTTTGATTCTGTGTTTCTCCATTTTGTCTTTATCTTTTCCAAACCGTCCGATTCTTGAGAGTCTATGACGGAAGCTGAATGATTTCTTTATTGTAGGGACGGTCTCCTCATCGGAAGATGAAGCGGGGGTTTGGGCTTGCTCGGATTGGGGCGAGTCGGGTATGACGGGGAGGCAGGACGTGAGGAAGCTGGGTTGTCTGACCACTGCGAGGTCTTTTGACTGTCCCCGGACCGGGACCAGGGTTTGAGGCCGGAGCTTGCGTGGCAGCTCTCCGAGGAGCCCCCGCTCAATGAGCTGCAAGTTCTCCGCATTGAGTTTCCTGAGCACGTCGGGCCTCTTGACTAGGGGCTTAGGTTTATCGTCCATGGTGACATTTGTCATCACCGTATCACGGCGTAGTGGCGACTGCCAGCTATCAACACTTAACGGTATCAGTGATAAGGTAGATAACGCGTCCCCCGTATTTATTTGCTGTCTTTTGACTGCATGTGAGCGGAACAAATATATCAGTGTGTGTTTAACAGTATTACACTATGCATTTCCAAAGTAAAACTTCATTAAGTAGCGCTATTGTTTTGCTCTATTATCTTGGTGGCTTTTGTTTATTCTATTGCATTACAATTGAACACGTTATTGGATTGTTATTTTATAATGCCAGGAATCTCTTCTCCAACACACGTCATGACACACCTGAAAATATCGACTTTATCAGATAAAAGTAGATAAAAATGAGTTTTAGAGAAATTCTTGCTTATTTTGTCAATCTATTTTACCAATATATTTTAATAAAGTATATACCTACCCAACTAAATGTGTAAGTAACATAAAAGCGTACATAATTTTTTAACTTGTTAACAACAGGAAGTGTGAACACATGACTTCGAGTGGAAGTATAATTTGCCGATAATTTTCAACTTCAATCAGTATGAAAACATATAATTATTGACACGCTACTTAGAACTCACTTCCTCGCTTAGTAAATCGGACATGATATTATATCTTTTGTTGAAAATATAAATAAGTAATGCGTAACTACAGTGTGAGTCACGTTAAAGTGTACATATGAAAATAGATGAAACTAGACCTATTTTTATCGACAAAAAAGAGGTCAAAAAATTTTTGAGATTTTTTTTTTATTTTTATAGAATTTTTTTTCTTCAAATTACTTTTTGTAATGAAAACGTCATAACTTTTAAACTAAGCGGTATATCCTGATAAAATAAAAACAGTAATAATGCTAAATAACAGGCAATACTAAAAAAATACATAAAATATACAAAAAATGCCAACAAATAATAAAAAATGATACTTTTTGAAAAAAATCTGCTTAAAAATTCGTATTTTTTTGGTTATTTGATAAATTTCTCAAAAAAATGCCCCTATAACAGATGGTTTTAATTACTTTTTATTATTCTTTATCGTATTATTTTTGTAAAACCAAAAATCGCATGTCTCTATCCCTATCACAACATTTGCTATGATCGTTTGAACAAAGGCCTGCCACCACATTTTTCTCCGCTACAGGTAGAGACAATTTTAATTTTAACTAAAATGCTTATTTTACTTCGAAATCTTTTGTTTTTATTTGAAATCAAACTTGTCTTTATCAAAACTACAAATCTAGAGTCACTTTCAGTTTCGTCGTTAACGAAGCGTTGAATGGCGCGCCCGGAGAGGCTTAGTTCAAACGATCATTGCAAACGTTGTGATAGGGATAGAGACATGCGATTTTTGGTTTTACAAAAGTAATACGATAGAAAATAATAAAAAGTAATAAAAACCACCTGTTATAGGGGCATTTTTTGGAGAAATTTATCAAATAACCAAAAAAATACAAATTTTTAAGCAGATTTTTTTCAAAAAGTATCATTTTTTATTATTTGTTGGGATTTTCTGGGTATTTCATGTATTTTTTTAGTATCGCCTGTTATTTAGCATTATTGCTGTTTTTATTTTATCAGGATATACCGCTTACTTTAAAAGTTATTTCGTTTTCTTTACATTAAGTAATTGGAAGAAAAAAAATTCTATAAAAAATTAAAAAAAAAAAATCACAAAAATTTTTTGACCTCTTTTTTGTCGATAAAAATAGGTCTAGTTTCATCTATTTTCATATGTACACTTTAACGTGACTCACACTGTATAAAGCAGGTACAAATACTTACTCAGATATATTTCGTTATTGTAAATCTAAGTGTTAGACATAGACAATTTTGGCGTGACTTTAAACAGCATCCTCTTATCTAAAAATTAAGGTCTAGATATCAGACTTCATTCTTTCCTTCATCAAAGAACAACAAATGTCTGACTTTGATCCTTTTCTGTGGAATCAAAGTTCAAATTGTTTTATGATTACTAAGATTTACGTTGTGCTGGATATAGATAGATATTTTGGAAGGTACATAAATTATTTACTTAACTGCCCAGATAAGTAAATCACCAACACGTGAATGTGAACTTATTTAACTTTTTCCCATTCACATGCACAAATTTCTTACTGTCTCAAAAATTCGTTAAAAACTGATTCATGGTTTCCCTTTAAAAACTTTCCTCCCATTTTATCGTTTCTTCACAAAGTGTCGCATTTCTAAAAACCTGGTCTTTCTTCCTGAATAAGATTAGGTCAAAAACAAATGTCTTAATTTTCGTCTTCGAAAAAGCTCCATACTTAACTGATACTTTATTCAAACTTACCTTTACCTTCCTATACTGTTACTAGTACCTGCTGACACTGAAACTATTTTTCATTCCACGAAAATTGACTCGACAGTCAGTTGCGTACATTATTTAGAAGACCTCGTATTAAATCAATACTCCAGTGTAGCAACGACCTAAAACCTACAGTGCTAGTGTTGAAACGCTTGTAGTTTTAGTTCTAAGTCTAATCTAGAAAAACCTAGTGCCTTAAATTGTGTGAATGCAATCTATATTCAGCGACATTGCGGATAAAATTCGAACAGTGATTAGAATTTCACACTTGTTGCATTGAAAATGAGTGGTAGTTAGTTATTGCTTGACTTGATTGATGAACTGCAGAAAAATAAACGTTTTTTCTGTTACGATGTTAATTGATTTAAATCGGCAAATTATCAAATACGAATAGCATGCATTAATCATTCAATCATTTGTAACGCATCAATACCTATACGTTGACGCGATGTTTAAAGAAAAGATATTTTACGACGATGCAATAACAGTAATCGATATACAAATGGATTAAATACGAAACTAATTAGTTAGGTAATAGTTTCTTATGTCTGGTAACCATTCTTTTCACAGTTACTTAGAACAGTGACTCGTCAACAAATAAGTATGTATTGAACTGAACGAATATTCTCAAAATAATATTAACAATAGGAGCCTAAAAACTCTCCTAACAACAACACAAATTGTATCACAGTTAAAACAAACAAAGTTATATAAACAAATAGCTTGCTCTTTGTAGTCCAATTAAGTGGTTCCCACGGTATCGCTTTGTATAGAAGGAAGTAGCTATTGAAATGGTGTTTTGTTATAAAATAATAACTGAGACTCCGAGGCGGTCGGGCACCACATCCCCGGTGAGACGAGCTGTGCCCACTAACAGTAAGTAAACACACAATTTTTTTTTGTGACAGGAGTCTAACGAGCATAGGGATCACCTGATGGTAAGTAATAATTACCGTCGCCCATAGACACCTGTAGTCCCAGGGGCGTTACAGGTGCGTTGCCGGCCTCTAAGGTGAAGGCCTTTAAGGTGAGAAAATCTTTGAATCCAGTTCTCTTTCTTTTCAAAAATAGAGATTTTTTTTCTTTCAGTAAACTTTTCTATCTACAGTATTAAGAGTACTTTCCCTCCAAGTCGCATTACAAAATTCCACCCTGTATTAGTACTTCGTAGATACTTAGATTATGTGCATTAATGTCCAAATAAAACCCTGTTGTCAGTCGTCTATGCATGGGCACAGTATTACCGTGGCATGGGCAAGAAAATACTTCACTTGCGCGAGTTAAACATGGTACAACGCCATCTGTTGGTTGAATTTTGAACTAATTACAATGCTGGTCCCCAACCTACCTACTAACTAAATAGCATTCTCGAATCGGTAGATAGTCCGATATCCAGCTGTTGAGTCCATCTCCTTTTATGATATTTTTCTTCCAGTTCCCAGCTCCCTGTCCCAACTCGTTGGTACCGTGGACTACGAAGCCAGCGATGTGCTGGACATCCCCGAGAGAGACTGGCGGCTGCTGGCTGCCCTCGCCAAGAAGAGGGACGAGAGCGACGAGCGGGAGCGGCTGGCGGAGGAGTTCCAGCGCATGTGGCAGAAGGAGAAAGAGGAGAGAGAGATGGTAAATTCTTATGTTAAAAAGAGTCAGTCATACAAGTTCGATGGTTAAGGCAGAAGCAGGCTCCACCATTAAGAATAATAGCAACTGAGGCTGCGGAACACATAACACTACGGTAGGTGATGGAGTAGCTCAAGCAAGGGAGCTTCTGGACTGCAACAGACACAAGCAGAANAAGGAGGACAGAGATATGGTACATTCTTATTTTAAAAAGGGTCGGTTATTCGAGTCCTATTGTCGAAGTAGAGACTCCACAATCAAGAATACTAGCAACTGACGCAGGCTACGGAAAAAACACTACGGTGGTTGATGGAGTAGCTCAAGCAAGGAAGTTTCTGGACTGCATCAGATACAAGCTAAATCGCAGCGAGGACGTACGAGCTCGGGGATTTTATCGACCAGAAAGTAAGACATGTTGATGGTTCATCAGACAGGTTCATGTGTGTCAACTTTACCCCTATCTATTTACAGTAGAATCCAATTATAACGACGCTGTGCGCCGATATTTACGTCGTACTATCAGGTCGTTATAAGCGACGTCGTACCAGTCGTACTGAATGGATTCTACTGTATTTAATTTTAGTTTTATTACTTTGACTCCACTTTTTTTTTGTGTGACAGGACGCAATTAAACTAGCAGACGGATCACCCGATGGTAAGTGATTCACTTCCACTGCCTTCTAAAACTTTGTTACATACCTCGTTGTGCTGTGACTCTTTCTAGGTAGAAGCTGAAACCCTCGACCAGTACAAGCGGTACCTCGCTCAGAAGCGTCACCAGGAGCGGTTGAGGCTGGAACACAAGCAGCTGCGGCAGGCCACAGAGCAGCAACTCAAGCAGGGGGAGCTCCTGAACTGCATCCGATACAAGCAGAGGCGCAGCGACGACCTGCGAGCGCTGATCATAGATCAAAAGGTAAAACAAGAGTTCTAGAGTTAATGGTTTCACTAAACTTCAATAGATTACTACTATAGTCTGGTCCGTGAGCAGGTAGAATTTTGTCCAATGACCCCAAGCTACCCATCATTATCGCTCGCGCGTAATTATGTTGCTATCGCGCTCGCACACTCACTGCGGGTGCCAATTGCACAGTCGCGACAGCAATATAATTACGCGCGAGCGATACTTAAGGGTAGGTAGCTAGAGGTCATTGGACAAAATTCTAGGTGCTCACGGACCAGGCTTTACCTGATGCTAAGTCAATACAGAGAAGCTGTAAGAGAAGCGCTTGCAACTAGATCTCAAGCGACTGCAGCCAGCGATGGATTGGAAGCACAATAAAAAGATGGAACATGTGTAGTGGTAACTGGATGGATCCTATTGTATAGCGTCAACTTGCGAGCGATGATTGAAACACAATCTTGTGTTTTTACATCTTCAAACATGGCAGTCAAGGATTCAGTTTGGTTATTATGAACTACCAAATGGAATCCAAGCCTATTTCAGAGACCAGCATATTATACTTATAGTTCAAGTGTTGATGACTGCATCAAATTCTAGAATAGGTATGTTTTAAGTATTTAGGCTACATTAAAATATTTTCTAATTAACATTGACTATTAATAAAGTAGCATCAAATTCTTGGACGGATATCTACACAGGTTTGACATTGACTCTTATCACATACTTACAGGTGACAGACATAGTAGACAAAGCACTAGAAGAAGAAGCGCGAGCGACCCTGGCTGCAAACCGGCGCCTGCGTCAGAGCGCGGCGGAGGAGTGCCGGAGACAACTGGACCTTGCCGACGCCAGGAGGAGGGAAGACGACGCCTTGAGGAGGAGGAACGCGATGCTGAGGGATGCCTCACAGGTCAGAAAAGAGTTTATATTAAAGATATGTAGTATACAAAGTACTGGAATAAGAAACGCGGTGAAGGAGTTCCATTGACAGCTGGACATGATCGAATTGAAGAGGAGAGAGGATGATGCGTTGAGGAGGAGAAATGCGATGCTGAGGGATGCCTCACAGATCAGAGAATGTAATAGAGACATAGTACACAAAGCATTAGAAGAAGCTGGAATAACCCTGGCGAAGAAGTGGCGAAAACAGCTGGACCTGGCCGACGCCAGGAGGAGGAGGGAAGACGACGCTTTGAGAAGAAGGAACGCGATGCTGAGGGATGCCTCACAGGTCAGAAAAGAGTTTATGTTATAGAGATGTAAGTAGTATACAAAGTACTGGAATAAGAAACGCGGCGAAGGAGTTCCAAAGACAGCTGGACATGATCGAATTGAGGAGGAGAGAAGACGACGCCTTGAGGAGGAGGAACGCGATGCTGAGGGATGCCTCACAGGTCAGAAAAGAGTTTATATTAAAGATATGTAGTATACAAAGTACTGGAATAAGATACGCGGCGAAGGAGTTCCAATGACAGCTGGACATGATCGAATTGAGGAGGAGAGAAGACGACGCCTTGAGGAGAAGGAACGCGATGCTGAGGGATGCCTCACAGGTCAGAGAAGAGTTTATATTAAAGATACTAGTAGACTAAGTACTAAAAGAGGAAGCGAGGGTGACGCTGACGAAAGACTGCCGACGCCAGGAGGAGAGAGGACGACGCGTTGAGGAGGAGGAACGCGATGTTGAGGGATGCCTCACAGGTCAGAAAAGAGTTTATATTGAAGATATGTAGTATACAAAGTACTGGAATAAGAAACGCGGCGAAGGAGTTCCATTGACAGCTGGACATGATCGAATTGAAGAGGAGAGAGGATGATGCGTTAAAGAGAAGGAACACGATGCTGCGGGATGCTTCACAGGTCAGAGAATGTTATGTCTCTATAACATAGGGCCGGTTTCCAGTAAAGCGATGGGGAGATTCCAATAAAGAGATGTGCGGCGCAGCTGCTAGGTAAGTAATTTTCATTAAATTGAAGAGGAGATGCAAGACGACAGTAGACGTGCGGAGATGAGACAAGAGAACACGAGGAGTGGTGGAGACTTCTAAACCTGACGCTTACTTGTGATGCTTCACAGGTCAGTTTATTTATATTAAAGAGACTAGTAGACAAAATACTGAAGGAGGAAGCGAGGGCGACCCTGGCGGAGGAGTGTCACAAACAGCTGGACCTGATCGACGCGAGAAGAGAGAACGATGCATTGGGGAAGAACGCGATGCTGAGAAATGCTCTGCAGGTTAGAGAAGACTTTAAGAGATGTAGACTACATCTCTTTAACATAAACTACGTCATGTAGTAGACAAAATACTGGAGGAGGCGAAGAAGAGCCGCAAACAGTCAAACAGCTGAACCCCATCGACGTGAGAAGGGATGGGACGCAGTTCAGACAAGAGTTTATGTGTAGAAAAAGTAATCGGCTAACGACAACTTCCTACTAATATCATAAATGCGAAAGTTTGGATGTCTGGGTGGATGTTTGTTACTCTTTCACGCAAAAACTACTGAACGGATTTTGATGAAACTTTACAGTATTATTATTTATAACCCAGAATAACACATAGGCTGTAATTTATGATGATCTGTGACAAACAAAATTTCAAACGGGTGAAGCCGCGGGCAAAAGCTAGTCAGGTATAAGCCAACAACTAGATAATAGCTCTAGGAAGGCTTCTACCTAATCCTGACACTGAGTATAACATCGTTGTAGAATCAACAACGATTTGCGAGTAACGTATAAAACTATTGGATTTGTGTAGTACAGTCAGCGTCAATTAGTTCGAGACACCCAAATTGGTCAAAAAGTAGACAACACAACCTTATTCTAATAAGGTAACAAANAAGGAGGAGAGAGAGATGGTACATTCTTATTTTAAAAAGGGACGGTTATTCGAGCCCTGTTGTCGAAGTAGAGACTCCACAATCAAGAATACTAGCAACTGAGGCAGGCTGCGGAACACAACACTACAGTAGGTGATGGAGTAGCTCAAGCAAGGGAGCTTCTGGACTGCATTAGACACAAGCAGAGGCGCTGCGAGCTCTGATTGTAGACCAGAATGAAAGGCTTGAAGAGCTTCTTACATGAATCTCTAGGTTTGACCTCAATAGGTAACATCGACTACAAAATCAGCATGTCCTGGACAGCCCCGAGAGAGACTGGCGGCTGCTGGCTGCCCTCGCCAAGAAGAGGGACGAGAGCGACGATCGGGAGCGGCTGGCGGAGGAGTTCCAGCGCATGTGGCAGAAGGAGAAGCAGGAGAGAGAGATGGTACATTCTTATTTTAAAAAGGGTCGGTTATTTGAGTCCTGTTGTCGAAGTAGAGACTCCACAATCAAGAATACTAGCAACTGAGGCAGGCTGCGGAATATACAACACTAGGGTGGGTGATGGAGTAGCTCAAGCAAGGGAGCTTCTGGACTGCATCAGACACAAGCAGAGGGGCCTGCGAGCTCTGATATAGACCAGAAAGTAAGGCTTGAAGAGCTTCTTACATGAATCTCTAGGTTTGACCTCAATAGGTAACATCGACTACAAAATCAGCAAGTCCTGGACATCCCCGAGAGAGACTGGCGGCTGCTGGCTGCCCTCGCCAGAAGAGGGACGAGAGAGACCAGCGGGAGCGGCTGGCGGAGGAGTTCCAGCGCATGTGGCAGAAGGAGAAGGAGGAGAGAGAGATGGTACATTCTTATTTTAAAAAGGGACGGTTATTCGATTCCTGTTGTCGAAGTAGAGACTCCACAATCAAGAATACTAGCAACTGAGACGGGCTGCGGAACACAACACTACGGTAGGTGATGGAGTAGCTCAAGCAAGGGAGCTTCTGGACTGCATTAGACACAAGCAGAGGCGCCTGCGAGCTCTGATATAGACCAGAAAGTAAGGCTTGAAGAGCTTCTTACATGAATCTCTAGGTTTGACCTCAATAGGTAACATCGACTACAAAATCAGCAAGTCCTGGACATCCCCGAGAGAGACTGGCGGCTGCTGGCTGCCCTCGCCAGAAGAGGGACGAGAGAGACCAGCGGGAGCGGCTGGCGGAGGAGTTCCAGCGCATGTGGCAGAAGGAGAAAGAGGAGAGAGAGATGGTACATTCTTATTTTAAAAAGGCTCGGTCATTCGAGTCCTGTTGTCGAAGTAGAGACTCCACAATCAAGAATACTAGCAACTGAGGCGGGCTGCGGAACACACACTACGGTAGGTGATGGAGTAGCTCAAGCAAGGGAGCTTCTGGACTACATCAGACACAAGCAGAGGCGCCTGCGAGCTCTAATTATAGACCAGAATGAAAGGCTTGAAGAGCTTCTTACATGAATCTCTAGGTTTGACCTCAATACGTACCTTTGACTATAAGTCCAGAGATGTGCTGGACATCCCCGAGAGAGACTGGCGGCTGCTGGCTGCCCTCGCCAAGAAGAGGGACGAGAGCGACGAGCGGGAGCGGCTGGCGGAGGAGTTCCAGCGCATGTGGCAGAAGGAGAAGGAGGAGAGAGAGATGGTAAATTCTTATTTTAAAAAGGGACGGTTCTTCGAGTCCTGTTGTCGAGGTAGAGGTTCCACAATTAAGAATACTAGAAACTGAGGCAAGCTACGGAACACACAACACTACGGTAGGTGTTGGAGTAGCTCAAGCAAGTTAGCTTCTGGGCTGCAACAGACACAAGCAGAGGCGCCTGCGAGCTCTGATTATAGACCAGAATGAAAGGCTTGAAGAGTTTTTTACATGAATCTCTAGGTTTGACCTCAATACGTACCTTTGACTATAAGTCCAGCGATGTGCTGGACATCCCCGAGAGAGACTGGCGGCTGCTGGCTGCCCTCGCCAAGAAGAGGGACGAGAGCGACGAGCGGGAGCGGCTGGCGGAGGAGTTCCAGCGCATGTGGCAGAAGGAGAAGGAGGACAGAGAGATTGTAAATTCTTATTTTAAAAAGGGTCGGTCATAAAAGTCCGGTGGTTAAGGCAGAAGCAGGCTCCACCATTAAGAATAATAGCAACTGAGGCTGCGGAACACACAAAACTACGGTAGGTGATGGAGTAGCTCAAACATGTGGAGCTTCTGGACTGCATCAGACACAAGCAGAGGCGCCTGCGACCTCTGATATACCAGTAAGTAAGGCATGAAGAAATTTTTACATGAATCTCTAGGTTTGACCTCAATACGTACCTTTGACTATAAGTCCAGCGATGTGCTGGACATCCCCGAGAGAGACTGGCGGCTGCTGGCTGCCCTCGCCAACAATAAGGCGGAAGGAGGAGAGAGAGATGGTAAATTCTTGTTTTAAAAAGGGTCGGCTATTCGAGTCCTGTTGTCAAAGTAGAGACTCCACAATCAAGAATACTAGCAACTGAGGCAGGCTGCGGAACACACACTACGGTGGGTGATGGAGTAGCTCAAGCAAGGAAGTTTCTGGACTGCATCAGACACAAGCAGAGGCGCCTGCGAGCTCTGGTATAGACCAGAAAGTAAGACTTGAAGAGCTTTTTACATGAATCTCTAGGTTTGACCTCAATACGTACCTTTGACTATAAGTCCAGCGATGTGCTGGACATCCCCGAGAGAGACTGGCGGCTGCTGGCTGCCCTCGCCAAGAAGAGGGACGAGAGCGACGAGCGGGAGCGGCTGGCGGAGGAGTTCCAGCGCATGTGGCAGAAGGAGAAAGAGGAGAGAGAGATGGTACATTCTTATTTTAAAAAGGGACGGTTATTCGAGCCCTGTTGTCGAAGTAGAGACTCCACAATCAAGAATACTAGCAACTGAGGCAGGCTGCGGAATACACAACACTAGGGTGGGTGATGGAGTAGCTCAAGCAAGGAAGTTTCTGGACTGCATCAGATACAAGCTGAAGCGCAGCAAGGACGTACGAACTCGGGGATTTTATCGACCAGAAAGTAAGGTTAATTTTGAAATTTTGGTGGGTTCATGTGTGTCAACTTTACCCCTATCTATTTACAGTAGAATCCAATTATAACGACGCTGTGCGCCGATATTTACGTCGTACTATCAGGTCGTTATAAGCGACGTCGTACCAGTCGTACTGAATGGATTCTACTGTATTTAATTTTAGTTTTATTACTTTGACTCCACTTCTTTTTTGTGTGACAGGACGCAATTAAACGAGCAGACGGATCACCTGATGGTAGTGATTCACTTCCACTGCCTTCTAAAACTTTGTTACATACCTCGTTGTGCTGTGACTCTTTCTAGGTAGAAGCTGAAACCCTCGACCAGTACAAGCGGTACCTCGCCCAAAAGCGTCACCAGGAGCGGTTGAGGCTGGAACACAAGCAGCTGCGGCAGGCCACAGAGCAGCAACTCAAGCAGGGGGAGCTCCTGAACTGCATCCGATACAAGCAGAGGCGCAGCGACGACCTGCGAGCGCTGATCATAGACCAGAAGGTAAAACAAGAGTTCTAGAGTTAATGGTTTCTCTAAACTTCAATAGATTACTACTATAGTCTGGTCCGTGAGCAGGTAGAATTTTGTCCAATGACCCCAAGCTACCCATCATTATCGCTCGCGCGTAATTATGTTGCTATCGCGCTCGCACACTCACTGCGGGTGCCAATTGCACAGTAAGGATAGGTAGCTAGAGGTCATTGGACAAAATTCTAGGTGCTCACGGACCAGGCTTTACCTGATGCTAAGTCAATACAGAGAAGCTGTAACAGAAGCGCTTGCAACTAGATCTCAAGCGACTGCAGCCAGCGATGGATTGGCAGCACAATTAAAAGGAACATGTGTAGTTGTTACTGGATCCTATTGTATAGCGTCAACTTGCGAGCGATGATTGAAACACAATCTTGTGTTTTTACATCTTCAAACATGGCAGTCAAGGATTCAGTTTGGTTATTATGAACTACCAAATGGAATCCAAGCCTATTTCAGAGACCAGCATATTATACTTATAGTTCAAGTGTTGATGACTGCATCAAATTCTAGGATAGGTATGTCTTAAGTTTGTCTTTAGGCTACATTAAAATATTTTCTAATTTAACATTGACTATTGATAAAGTAGCATCAAATTCTTGGACGGATATCTACACAGGTTTGACATTGACTCCTATCACATTACTTACAGGTGACAGACATAGTAGACAAAGCACTAGAAGAAGAAGCGCGAGCGACCCTGGCTGCGGACCGGCGCCTGCGTCAGAGCGCGGCGGAGGAGTGCCGGAGACAGCTGGACCTGGCCGACGCGAGGAGGAGGGAAGACGACGCGTTGAGGAGGAGAAACGCGATGCTGAGGGATGCCTCACAGGTCAGAAAAGAGTTTATGTTAAAGATATTATGTAGTATACAAAGTACTGGAAAAAGAAACGCTGCGAAGGAGTTCCAAAGACAGCTGGACATGATCGAATTGAGGAGGAGAGAAGACGACGCCTTGAGGAGGAGGAACGCGATGCTGAGGGATGCCTCACAGGTCAGAGAATGTTATAGAGACATAGTATACAAAGCATTAGAAGAAGCTGGAATGACCCTGGCGGAGGAGTGCCGGAGACAGCTGGACCTGGCCGACGCCAGGAGGAGGGAGGACGACGCCTTGAGGAGGAGGAATGTGATGCTGAGGGATGCCTCACAGGTCAGAGAATGTTATAGAGACATAGTACACAAAGCAAATAAGAAGCTGGAACGACCCTGACGAAGGAGTGGCGAAGACAGCTGGACCTGGCCGACGCCAGGAGGAGGGAGGACGACGCTTTGAGAAGAAGGAACGCGATGCTGAGGGATGCCTCACAGGTCAGAAAAGAGTTTATGTTAAAGATATGTAGTATACAAAGTACTAGAATAAGAAACGCGGCGAAGGAGTTCCATTGACAGCTGGACATGATCGAATTGAGGAGGAGAGAGGACGATGCGTTAAAGAGAAGGATCGCGATGCTGCGGGATGCTTTACAGGTCAAAGAAGTGTTTTAAATAGACATTACTAGCGTGGGACGTCTAACAAGGCGGACACTGGACAGACGACCTCATAAAAGTAGCAGGAAGGTACCGGTCAATCTAGAAATCATTGGGGGAGGCCTATGTTCAGCAGTGGACATCCTGTGGCTGGAATGATTATGATGATGAGACATAGGAGACAAAGCACTAGAGGAAGCAAGGGTGACCCTGGTGGAAGAGTGCCGGAGACAGTTGGACCTGGCCGACGCGAGGAGGAGAGAAGACGACGCCTTGAGGAGGAGGAACGCGATGCTGAGGGATGCCTCACAGGTCAGAGAATGTTATAGAGACATAGTATACAAAGCATTAGAAGAAGCTGGAATGACCCTGGCGGAGGAGTGCCGGAGACAGCTGGACCTGGCCGACGCCAGGAGGAGGAGGGAAGACGACGCTTTGAGAAGAAGGAACGCGATGCTGAGGGATGCCTCACAGGTCAGAGAAGATTTTATATTAAAGATATGTAGTATACAAAGTACTGGAATAAGAAACGCGGCGAAGGAGTTCCAAAGACAGCTGGACTCTTAAATACATTAAATGGATATTGTGAGCGAAGAATTTGGCCTAGCTGATTCAGTAAAGGTATTTCCATAATATTATAGTTCTTAGCTTTATTTCAGTTGTTCAGGGATGCTAAATTATTTTATTTTAACACATCACATCACATGTGCATTAAGTATTTTTATCAACAACAAACTCGTATTTTATTTATAGTAATTTAACAAAATTTTGTGGTATCCCTAAACATTTTCAATAAACGCCATCTAGTAAACTAAGGATAATGTCACTAACTTCCCTTACCTCTCACAGAATCTGAACAATTTGTTTATTGTTCTCAACGGAATAGTGTCTGCGACATACGCCCCTCGCTAGATGTCGCTGCGTTTCATCCGAGCACGTAACCCCTGCAAAACGGCAACCATTCCAAACATTAACATCTCTGAAAGCAACTAGATGGTGCTACGAGTCGGAGGTTCGTTTTTCTAGCCCGCGGTGTCCAGATTTTTTTCCCTTTAATCACTTTCAGCGTCCAATTTATCATATTAATGCAAGTTAAAGTCGAGTCAAGGCCTGTCCATTGCACTGCGGACGGGTGGACTCCTTCACAAGTCTAATGACGATGTATGTGGTGGTGTCATGTTACAGAAATGATAAATTTTTGGAAGGGACTGTGCGTATGCACCGTCCCCACAAAAACTCTGCCAATGAGGACAGATAATAAAAATATATTGGACACGTATTTTTTATATTTTGTCTTAATCGAATAATTACAGTATTATATTGAGTTGAAATGTTGCGTGACGTCACTTTTGAGTAAAAAATCTACATAGACGTGAGTAGTGACGCAAAGCGCTATTTCAAGTTACGTTATTATTTAATTATGAAAGAAAACAAAAAATACGAGTCTAATATTTTCTAATTAAATACATTTTGTCATCTAGCCGATTATTGGCATCGCTATACAGGGTGTTAGGTAAATGGGTATATGAGCCGACACTAGGCCATGTTAACATGGGCATATAAATGGTATGGTGAAGTCAGAAATTTGATATCATCATTTTAATTTTTTTAATTTTCATACAAAATAAATTTTATAAAATCCGATTTGTATGAAAATTAAAATAATTAAAATGAAGATATCAATTTTCTGACTTCACAAAATAAATTTTATAAAATCCGATTTGTATGAAAATTAAAATAATTAAAATGAAGATATCAATTTTCTGACTTTACCATACCATTTATATGCCCATGTTAACATGGGCTAGTGTCGGCTCATATACCCATTTACCTAACACCCTGTATAGTTATACAGGGTGGAATTTTGTAATGCCACCTGGCACCTGGAGAGAAAGTACTCTTATTTTACGCAAAGAAAACATTCCTTCATTTTTGAAAAGAAAAAGAACTGCATTCAACGTGTTCCGAAACTTTTTCGAAAATTCACCACCATAACATAAAATTTTTTCATGGTATCACTTATCCTTTCATTTGATATTTTTAATAGTACTTCATAATTTAATAAAAATTCTGTGGTTTCCCTAAACATTTTCAATAAATGCCATCTAGTAAAATAATGATGTATCACTTGCCTCTCACAGAATCTGAACGATATGTTCTCAACAGAATAGTGTCTGCGGCATACGCCCCTCATTAGATGTCGCTGCGTTTCATCCGAGTAGGTACGCAACCAGACGCAACCCCTGCAAAACGGGAACCGTTCCAAACATTCACATCCCTGAAGGAAACTTAGATGGCGTTACGTGCGGGCTTCGTTTCTCTAGCCCGGGGTGGCCAGATTTTTTTTTCCGATAATGACTTTTGGCACCCAAAATCCAATTTTCTTATTATACCTGCAGTTGGGCAGCTGGCCTAAGACCATTGGCGAACTCCGTCCATTGCACTGCGGATGGGTTCTCCCTTCTATGATCTGAGGGTTCACCCCTTTAAGGTTGTGAAAGTAGGTAATTAATCATAGATTATTCTAAGGTTCTCATAATTTTTGGAAAGGGGACTGCGTAGTGCGTATGCCGTCCCCACAAAAACTCTTAACACGTTATCCCAATACTCACCACATGCAACTCAACTTCTCTTTGTCTTTTTCGCCATTTGTACAGTTTTGCAATTAATTCAGAAAAAAGGCAACGTACCTTCTTCAATTTGAACGTCTTTTTATTTTATTAAATCCTGAAGATCTATTATACTGTTGCTAAATTCGCCTCCATTTTGGAATTATTTGCATCAAGCTTCAAGTTTCTTTTTTTTTTCAATAAATAGCGTACGGAGATTTCTAACGCTCTCAGCTCAGACAAGAAGTGCTGTTTGTGTCTTACACCCTCCGTTAGATGTCGCTACGTTTCATCCGAGCACGTAACCACTGCAAAACGGCAACCGTTCCAAACATTCACCTTCCTGAAGGCAACTAGATGGGGCTACGAGCCGGAGCTTCGTTTTTCTAGCCCGCGGTGTCCAGATTTTTTTCCCTTTAATGACTTTCGGCGTCCAATTTATCACATTAATGCAAGTTAAAGTCGAGTCAAAGCCTGTCCATTGCACTGCGGATGGGTTGACTCCTTTACTAGCCCATGTTGCTTGAGAGATGTGGTAACTGTGTTAGACAGGATATACTTATTATTGCTAAATTAATTTTTGGAAGGGACTTTGCGTATGCACCGTCCCCACAAAAACTGCCAATGAGGGCTATCGTTATAGCGCTCACTTTAATTATATTAAACATTTGGCAAAATATTATTATACAGTGTGTCCGGGCATGTAGTGATCAAACTTTAAGGGCGAAAACTAGGGATAATTTTATCGATAAAAATACTCTTTGGCGCTTGACCCATTTATCGCAAAATTACAAGTTTTTAATTTTTATTTTTTACCTCTTCCTTCAAAAATAAGTGAAAGCGTGGGTAGCTTAACATTAATAAGCAAATATGTATGTTACATCATGCGATAGCCAATAAAATTATGTATTAGTAAAAATAGAAAACAGACACAAGTTTCATACATTTTATGGAAGTAAGAATGGATTTAATTATGCCCTGATTTATACATGTTTTTGTTAATTTATAGCGTGCAGCGATATCAAACGCGCTAAGCTCCTGGGAGACCACGCTCCTCAGGCAAGAAGTCTCCGCGCTGGAGGCAGCACGTCGCGCGTCCCACGCCGCGCGCGCTGCGCTGACAGAAGTGCGCAGCGCGAGGATTGCGCGCGCGAGAGACGTCAGGCTGAAGAAGGCTAGGCGATTGGCGGCCATTACCGCGCAGATGAGGGAGGCTGTCAGATCTGGGAGGACTCAGTAAAGGCCTTTTAAAAATGTTTATATCCGCCTGCATAAAGGTTGGTACAAACCAACGCGATCAGCCGGCGTGCAGCGATAGCGATCAATGCATTTAAGTCTGATCGCCATCGCTGCACCAAGCTGATCGCGTGTGATCACGTTGGTTTGGCCCAACCTTAATACAGACTCCCCGCGCCTAGAGACTTTTAGTCGGCCGACAGTTTGGCCCGATTCTAATTTGTATAAGAATCGGCCGATACCAATGTGCGTTCAAGACATGTCCATAATGATTAACAGCCCGACTTAACTATCGGCCGACAAAAAGCCTGTAGTCTGCGGCTAGGTTAAAAAGACCTAGATGAGACTGCTAACAAGTGTTGGGCTAGAAAACTGACGCCGGTTGCAGATCAAGAGCAAAGTTAAGTTAATTAGTTTTCCTAGTTTATGCGAGCTAATCGCATTGCTGATGCAGTTTTCCATAGTGTTTGCAATCTGCACACGACTATAAACATAAATCTAGCTCTTGGTCTACAACCGGCATTACTTATTTCCACCATAAAATATAATGCCTATCGTAAAATGTTTCTTTCTACTATGTTGAAGCAAAATGTCTCTTTCTCATAGTGTCACTATAAGTCCTTCTTAATGCTAAGTTTAGGAAATTAATAACTATTTCTGATGGTTGTAAAAGAAATTCCTGTAATATTTCGTGCTCAATTTAAATAAGCTCATGATAGTAGATTGTAATTTGTAACTTTTTTGTTGTTTGTTTGTTAAAATTTAGTCCATGTCCATTATTCATGTCAAAAACCCCTCTACCTCTTAACTTTAAGATTAAAATATTATTATTTTAATAAATACCATCATAATTTTATTAATTTGTTTATTTTCAGTCAGACTAAGTTACAACAGTCTGAGTCTGTGGAGCTAATATTGTTGTAATTTCTGTGTTATATTATGAGGAAAAGCATAGAGGACTCATTGAGAGACACTTGTGTGACATCAACTCTTTATTTACATTATTGGTAGATACATAGGTCATAAACAGATCTTTCGTCATTTTCCAAGAATCCAGAGAAATCCTTCAAAAACGGTAGGTCTACTCAAGACTCGTCCAAAGACGGCGCGTCCCCGGAGCCGTCGTAGGGTCGTTGCGCAGGTCCCTGGTGACGGCGACGAGCCGGGCCCGCGCCCTCCTGTACTGCCGCAGCACCGCCTCTGCCTCCAGCAGGACCGAGGACGTGGAGCGCCCAGCAGTGGACTCCGGTAGGGTTTACCCTGGTAGCGAGTGAGAGAGAGNTCGCGCGTCTCATGCCGCGCGCGCTGCGCTGACAGAAGTACGCAGCGCGAGGATTGCGCGCGCGAGAGACGTCAGGCTGAAGAAGGCTAGGCGATTGGCGGCCATTACCGCGCAGATGAGGGAGGCTGTCAGGTCTGGGAGGACTCAGTAAAGGCCTTTTAAAAATGTTTGTATCCGCCTGCATAAAGGTTCAGCCAAACCAACGCGATCAGCCAGTGTGATCGCGTTGGTTTGGCCCAACCTTAATACAGACTCCCCACGACTGGAGACTTTTGGTCGGCCCGATTCTAATTTGTATGAAGAATCGGCTGATACCAATGTGCGCTCTTCATACATGTCCATAGTCCATAATGATTAACAGCCCGACTTACCTATCGGCCGACAAAAAAAGCCTGTAGTCTGCGGCTAGGTTAAAGGATTCCTAGATGAGACTGCTAACGAGTGTTAGGCTAGAAAATTGACGCCGGTTGCAGATCAAGAGCAAAGCTAAGTTACCTAGTTTATACGAGCTAATCGCATAGCTGATGCAGTTTCCCATAGTGTTTGCATAGTTTGCAATCTGCACACGACTATGAACATAATCTAGCTCTTGGTCTACAACCGGCATTACTTATTTCCACCATAAAATAGAATGCCTATCATAAATGTTTCTTTCTACTATGTTGAAGCAAAATGTCTCTTTCTCATAGTGTCACTGTAAGTCCTTCTTAATGCTAGTTTAGGAAATTAATAACTTTGTATTTCTGATGGTTGTAAAAGAAATTCCTGTAATATTTCGTGCTCAATTTAAATAAGCTTATGATTGTAATTTGTAACTTTTTTGTTGTTTGTTAAAATGTAGTCCATGTCCATTATTCATGTCAAAAACCCCTCTACCTCTTAACGTTAAGATTAAAATATTATTATTTTAATAAAATAAATACCATCATAATTTTATTAATTTGTTTATTTTCAGTCAGACTAAGTTACAGTCTGAGTCTGTGGAGCTAATATTGTTGTAATCCCTCCCTGTGTTATATTATGAGGAAAAGCATAGAGGACTCATTGAGAGACACTTGTGGGACATCAACTCTTTATTTACATTAGATAGATGGTACATAGGTCATAAACAGATCTTTCGTCATCTTCTAAGAATCCACGCTGCAGTTAGGTCTTTTCAAGACTAGGTCTTCTCGAGGCTCCTCCAAAGACGGTGCGTCCCCGGAGCCGTCGTGGCGCAGGTCCCTGGTGGCGGCGGCGAGCCGGGCCCGCGCCCGCCTGTACTGCCGCAGCACCGCCTCTGCTCCCAGCAGGACGGCGGATGCGGAGCGCCCAATAGTGGACTCTGTTCTATACCCTGGGAGCGAGTGAGAGAGAATGACGATGCAAAGACACAGAGCGCCCAACAGTAGTCTCTAGCCTGGACCATGAGAGCAAGTGAGAGAGAGAGTCTGTACTATTAGGAAGACATAGAGCGCCCAGCAGTAGTCTCTAGCCTGGACCATGAGAGCAAGTGAGAGGGAATGTATCGATAGGAAAACACGCCCTGGGAGCGAGTGAGAGAGAGTCGGGAGACACGGAGTGCCCAGCTGTAGTATCTGGCCTAGAGTACCTTGGGGTTGGGACGGATTAGGAAAGAATGGGGATGGGAATAAGGTATCACAATCTCGGTTGTTTTGTAAGGAAAATATATTGTCCAAGATACAATAGGGATCAAATAAAGGATCAATACCTAATTCTAAAAGACACCAGAGGGTAGATAAGAACTCTTTATTTACATTTGAAACACGCTAGGTATATAGAAAGTCATAAATCTTTCGTCATCTTCCAAGTATCCACGCTTCAGTTAGTCCTCCAAAGACGGCGCGTCCCCGGAGCCGTCGTGGCGCAGGTCCCTGGTGGCGGCGGCGAGCCGGGCCCGCGCCCTCCTGTACTGCTGCAGTACCGCCTCCGCCCCCAGCAGGACCAAGTAGGGTATACCCTAGTAGCGAGTGAGAGAGAATGACGATGCAAAGACACAGAGCGCCCAACAGTAGTCTCTAGCCTGGACCATGAGAGCAAGTGAGAGCGAGTCTGTCGATGGAAAGACATGGATCGCCCAGCAGTAGCCTCTGTTCTGTACTCTTGGAGCGAGTGAGAGAGAGTCTAAGGGAGACACGGAGTGCCCAGCAGTAGTCTCTAGCCTGGACCATGAGAGCAAGTGAGAGAGTCTGTAGTAGTAGGAAGACATAGAGCGCTTAGCAGTAGTCTCTGGATGGTAGAAGCATGTGGGACGGATTGGGAGAGAGTATTTGAATGGGAGATATTGTGATACCTGTATATTATGAGGAAAAGATGGGTCAAGAAACCATGAGGACTCATTGAGAGACACTTGTGGGACATCAACTCTTTATTTGCATTATAAACACGGTAGATACAATTACAGAACGTCTGTCATCTTCCAAGTATCCACGCTGCAGTTAGGTCTTCTCAAGACTCGTCCAAAGACGGCGCGTCCCTGGAGCCGTCGTGGCGCAGGTCCCTGGTGGCGGCGGCGAGCCGGGCCCGCGCCCTCCTGTACTGCCGCAGCACAGCCTCTGCCCCCAATAAGACAGCAGACGCGGAGCGCCCAACAGTGGGCTCCGGTTGAATGTGTACCCTGGGAGCGAGTGAGAGAAAGTCTGTCGATGGGAAGACATGGAGCGCCCAACAGTAGTCTCCATCCTGGACCATGAGAGAAGAAGTATGGTAGGGAATGGGAGAGAGTCTATGGAAGGGAGCTGTAGTGAACTGATACCTCGGCTGTTTTGAGACGAAAAGACAAAAATACTCGTGAAAAGACATCAATTCTTTATTAGAAATACGGTAACAATTAGTAACTAGATCATAAACAGATCTTTCGTCATCTTCCAAATATCCACGCTTTGGTCTTCCAGCTAAGTCACTATATTTGCTAAAGACTCCATAAGACTCCTCCAAACTGATACTCCTAGGTACGGTTGTTGTGAAGAAAAGATTGAAAAAGACTTGTAAGGACACATANCATTGAAAGACACTTGTGGGACATCACCTCTTTATTTGCATTATAAACACGGTAGATACAATTACAGAACGTCTGTCATCTTCCAAGTATCCACGCTGCAGTTAGGTCTTCTCAAGACGGTAGGTCTTCTCAAGACTCGTCCAAAGACGGCGCGTCCCCGGAGCCGTCGTGGCGCAGGTCCCTGGTGGCGGCGGCGAGCCGGGCCCGCGCCCGCCTGTACTGCCGCAGCACCGCCTCTGCTCCTAGCAAGACGGCAGAGGCGGAGCGCCCAACAGTAGGCCCCGGTAGAGTGTACGCTGGGATTGGGTGAGAGAGAGTCGGTCGATGGGAAGACATGGAGCGCCCAGCAGTATAGCCACTGTTCTGTACCCTGGGAGCGAGTGAGAGAGAGTCTAAGGGAGACACGGAGTACCCAGCTGTAGTCTCTGGCCTGGGTTGGGACGGATTGGGAAAAAATGGGGATGGGAATGAGGTATCACAATCTCTGTTGTTTTGTAAGGAAAATATTGGCCAAGAGACAAGAGGGATTAAATAAAGGATCAATACCTAATTCTAAAAGACACCAGTGGTTAGATAAGAACTCTTTATTTACATTTGAAACACGCTTTATAGAAAGCCATAAATCTTTCGTCATCTTCCAAGTATCCACGCTCCAGTTAGTCCTCCAAAGACGGCGCGTCCCCGGAGCCGTCGTGGCGCAGGTCCCTGGTGGCGGCAGCGAGCCGGGCCCGCGCCCTCCTGTACTGCCGCAGCACTGCCTCCGCCCCTAGTAAGACAGCAGACGCGGAGCGCCCAACAGTGGGCCCCGGTAGAGAGTACCCTGGGAGCGGGGATTGGGCGAGGGTGTGCCAGCGGATGAATATGCTCCCGGTTGTCGTGAAGACGAAGTTGGCGTTCTGTGGATGGAGAAGATGTGATGCATAGTTGTTATGTGAAGAATAGGATTAAGTAATAGGTCTTAGACTTTTGCTATCTAAATATCTTCAGTAGACTAGCAATGAAGAAAGATTAACAGAACATTCTAGCAGTCCAAACTATGCATAAGATCGGTACGCAAGCTACTTTAATAGGCCAGGCTAGACTAAGTTCGGTCCAAATAGAATCCGTTGACACTTTTGCAATTAAAAACCTAGACAAGAGTGAAGATTCATCATTTCAGCCATAAGACGTCCACTGCTGAACATAGGCCCCCCAAAGATTTCCATATTGACCGGTTGGTAGCGGCCTGCATCCAGCGCCTTCCTGTTACTTTTATGAGATTCACTATATGTATTAATTTTCGTACCTGTAACTGCGGGTTAGCCAACACATCCAAATCCTTGATCAAGTTACACCCTCCCACAAAAAACCTGCGACTGCCGGCCTCCACCCTATCCCACTCGTCAGGGCGGGAGCAGGACAGCAGCTTGCTGTGCGACCCTGGACGCAGGGGCAGAGCGAGATAGCTGTACCCTTCGGTGCGGTGCCGGCCCCACCAGTCGGTTGATATCACTTCGAAGAAGATTTGGAGGGGGGATGGTTCTGAAAGCAAAATGATCTAAATTCAAACTCGTTTATTATTAGTTGGGCCTTCTTAGGCAGGACACACTCGGGCATCGTGATTGTGTCCTTTTTTCTCGGAATTTTAACCCTCGTGTCTCCTATAGCCCAAAGCAAAGGAATGATGTTTGAGCACAATAAATAGGAAAATACACCATAAAGGCCTATTCAAACCTGAGCGATATTCGTTGCCGCTGTGGGTAGAGGCACAGAATAATAATAAGTACCTACTACGTACAGAAGTTTTACTTCGCGAAGGTATTTAAAAAAATGTATGCTCAATGTCATTAACATTAAGGTGTAATTTAGCCTGTCTCCAAGAGTCAAGCACCATTTTGTTGACAAACGTCAGTGATCGGCACTGGGCCGAAGCTATAGGGCTGACTTCGGTAAAATCATGTGACATGAGGTGCCAAACTGCGGAAAATGGCGGAGGAAATACATGATTTAGCATGAATTATTATGAATAATATTAACTACTTAACTACTTACTTATTTACCTCTCAGTGTCTTGACCGCGGCTAGAGCGTTTTCTCTGCCGCAGACGGTAGCGAATACCGCTTAGGTCTGAACAGTATTATTACCGCATACTCACTGGGTTTTCTCTGCCGCAGACGGTAGCGAATACCGCTTAGGTCTGAATAGGCCTTAAGGAAAACTATAAGAACTCAAAAAGCATCAAACGTCATGGAAACCATGAGAAAAACTGTGAATACACTATTTTCTCATGTTTTGTTTTGACTACGCAAACAATCTTACTCAAGTAGGTATTCCTACTTGTGTTTTCTGATTTAACAATAAGTTGTGTCTGATATAACACTAGCATTTGAAATTACCCAAATTAGGCGGCCTTTTCGCTACCTACCTACCTACTAAGGTACCTAGTTAGCCCACCTGAAACGGCATCTGCCTCCAAATGCAGCTCAATGATGTGGCCAAAGCACCACTCCTCGATATCTTCTACCCTCAGCGCTCTGGTGACATGCGTGCGGCCGTGGACTGGTTCCGTGCATTTTATTGCGTCTGGAATCTGCACAAAACGAAGCATTTTAGCTTATTTTTTATGCAGAACTAGGCAGATATTTACGCCTCAAAGTGACCACGACCGCTCTGCCAAGAGCAAAACGAATAAGAAGAAGAAGGCAGGTATTTAACCGCAATCGCACCTGATGTTAGTGAGATTCAGGTTAGTTATATCGCATTATAATCCATTAGACCAGTGGTTCCCAAAGTTGTCTGGGCTATGTCTCATCTAATACAAGTTCCCAAACTCGGGACCCATCTATAGTAAATTTCGCCCGCCTGCCCAGCGGTTGGATCGATAGGGTGGTGTGTCGTTCTACAGGCAAGGCCCACTCAATGACCCATAGTGTGGGAAACCGTGCATTAGACTATAGCGGTCCATTGCTGAACAAAGGCCTCCCTTAATTTGTTCTTCTACCAGCTACCTTTTATGCTGGGAATTCAGTCATGAATATTTTGAGTCGCATAATTAATTATTTAGTCTGATGGACCGGATTAAAAAGACAGCAACGGTTGAGGCTTCGAATTCCACTGGTGACTATTTCCATCTATTTCTCCCACCTCCGCAACTCCTGTGTGGCTAGAATCTACAGCTCTACAAATGGCCGCAAAAATAATATATCAGAAGGGGAAAGCCTCGAGGTATTCGATGACGAAGACCACCATCCTCCAAAGCAAATTAGGTAGCAGATGACAAACTTGTCAATAAGTCGGAGATACCTACACACGGATAATATAGCATGGTATAGCACCAAGGGTGGGACGTCCACCCACAAGGTGGACCGACGACATCATAAAGGTAGCAGGAAGTCGCTGGACGCAGGCCGCTACCAACCGGGCAACATAAAACTTTTATTTATTATTTTTATTTTATATTATATTCAGCAGTGGACGTCCTATGGCTGAGATGATGATGCATGATAGCGCCAAGAAAGAATACTTTAGAAAATCTTCCTAAACAACGCACCCTGATAGTATATTCGACGTATAGGTCGTCCATTTCGAATTCCTTAGCGGTCAGTATTTCCAGGGTAAGGTGGTAGATCTTCCTCCCTAGCGAGGGCATGCAGAAGTTGACCAGCTGCTTGTGTTTCTTCTCCCACTTTTTGTGCAGTTTGTTCAGCTGAAACAAGTTCAACAAATGTCTGCTTGCTGCTTGGTCATTAACGTAACTTTCGTTAAATGTAGTATCAAATGTTAAATGTAGTGTAAGGTAAACGGCTACTACACTCGCGAGCAAAACTATGGAATCACTTACATGAAGTTGTTTCCACGCGAACTTGTGTACTAACGAATATGTTAGTAACTAAAAAAGTGGCACCATTTTAAAGATTAAACTTTTATCTTTAATTTGATACCAAATTCATTTAAATCACACCAGTATTTAAAAAGATATCCCGGCTGATGTGAAGAAGTAACGAAAAAGACATGTATGAACTGTTTGATACGTCGCGAGTTGCGGCCTATTTACCCCCTATAAAAGCACGCGTTTTTAGGTTTTTGCTTTCACACGTTGATTCATACACATCTCCGCTTCTTTTGACACTTTACCTGGGATTCTACACCTTCAGAAGCAGCACAAATCGTTGCACTATTGCAAGAAAGGCTCAGCCAGCGGGCTGTCGCACGTCAGCGCCACATAAGCCAGTCCTGGGTTTCGAAAGTTTCAAGACGCTTTCGGGAGACTAGTGGCTTTATCCCGAGACCAAGTTCTGAACAGCGCCGGTGCACATCGCAGAGGGAAGACCGTTTTTTCATGTCAACCACTCTATGAAATCGTCATTTGACTGGAATCGATGTCTATCAAGAGCTCAGAAATGTTCGTAAGATAGCTGTTAGCGAGTGGACAGTTCGTCTAAGATATAAGCAATAGAATTTGACTCCAAAAAGGCCTGCCACAGGCTCGAAACTGACGGCAGGTCACCGATAAGCACCCTTTCAATTTGCTCGTACAAGTCTCCCGAAAGCGTCTTAAAACTTTCGAAACCCAGGACTGGCTTATGTGGCGCTGACGTGCGACAGTCCGCTGGCTGAGCCCTTCTTGCAATAGTGCAACGATTTGTGCTGCTTCTGAAGGTGTAGAATCCCAGGTAAAGTGTCAAAAGAAGCGGAGATGTGTATGAATCAACGTGGGAAAGCAAAAATCCGAAAACGCGTGCTTTTATAAGGGGTAGGCCGCAACTCACGACGTATCAAACAGTTCATACATGTCTTTTTCGTTACTTCTCCACATCAGCCGGGATATCTTTTTAAATACCGGTGTGATTTAAATGAATTTGGTATCAATTTAAAGATAAAAGTTTAATCTTTAAAATGGTGCCACTTTTTTTGTTCCTAACAAATTCGTTAGTACACAAGATCGCGTGGAAACAACTTCATGTAAGTGATTCCATACTTTTGCTCGCGAGTGTAGTTCGTGATAGTACGTAAGTTCGTAAGTTTTTTTTCTAGCTCAAATAATAAGCAAATGGAATATTATTTATAAAAATTCTTCATTACTACAAAAACTCTATTATTTAAGCTATCTAAAAAACCAAGTACCAACATTGTGGCGCCAAAAATGAGAGCAATACGAAGCTTCAAACTCTCAGAGAGCCAAAAACAGCCGTGCGGCTTGCAAAGGTTGCTCTCACCCCAAGGTTAGCGCTCCAACTTCTTAAGCTTATAAAAAGGCGAAGGAACGTCCATATAAATAAAACTTGTAATAGTGGTTTCATGTGTTCCTTGACAATTGATTTGGCTTAGAAAAAAGTTATATGAAAACGTAGAATTCCTTTAAAATTGCGATTAATTGACTCACGAAATAGCGTACATATTATTTTTCGGTTGTCCCCTATTTCGTGACACTACCGATTCAAGGATTTTATGGATAACATTTTGATGCTTGGTTTTTAAATAATTATTTATGATAATTTAAATGTAAGTTATGAAACAAATAATGCATTTATTTAAGTTTCTCATGACCTAAATTCGGTATATGTTTCGTTCACTAGAATTTATATGACACGAGTTTGAAGTTCACATATATGACCAATTTTAAGATAAATTAGCATAAGTAGTACCAGCATAATTTTGGTTTTATTTCGATTTTTTTTATTTATCTTTATTTATTTGTATTGTATATGGGATAGATAATAGTTAATTGACACATTTTGACAAAAATCCTTGAATTTTACTTGGGGAATTTGGAATAATCAGTATCACGAAACAAGGAACCGTATTATTGTTACTTTTTTCCTAGTTCGTGATATATAAATGTATGGTGTTAGGTACTTTTATGACACACACCATCAAAGAAATCGACATATTTTTTAGTTTTTAATACTTACCTACCTAAGAAATTAATTAATTACTTACTTTTTATTATGAGTCATTGGCGTATCATTTTATGATTTTTTTTAGTATCGCCTGTTATTTAGCATTATTACTGTTTTTATTAAATCAGGATCTACCGCTTAGTTTAAAAGTTATTACTTTTTCTTTACATTATGTAATTGGAAGAAAAAAAATTCTATAAAAAATTTAAAAAAAATCTCAAAAATATTTTGACCTCTTTTTTGTCGATAAAAACAGGTCTAGTTTCATCTATTTTCATATGTACACTTTAACGTGACTCACACTGTAGATGTCCAAGAATAAACCGTCCGGAAGATTAACAGAATATTCAAACAACCCAAACTACTTATGCATACTTAGTTTGTACTTACTGAAAGTATGCTAAACAAATTTTTTGCCCGCTACCTTTCTCGTAGCCTTAGTAATTGGGAATCAAAATGTCGTCCCTAAGCTGTACCTATTTAAAATTTGTACTGGCATTAGATCGATACGCAAGCCACTAGGCCAGGCCAGAACTCAGTTCAGCCCGAATAGAATTAGGGAACACCATGGGCGTACCCAGAGGAAGCGGGCAGGCTGGAAGTTGCTTTGAAACAACTAAGTCAAACTATCTGACCTAAAAAATCTGACTTGTCCCCCCTAGGCCAGAAGCTGGGTATGTCCATGGGGGACACTGATGCAATTTACCAATACAAGAGTCAAGATTCACTACATCAATTTTCGTACCTGTAACTGCGGGTTAGCCAACACATCCAAGTCCTTGATCAAGTTACACCCTCCCACAAAAAACCTGCGACTGCCAGCCTCCACCCTATCCCACTCGTCAGGGCGGGAGCAGGACAGCAGCTTGCTGTGCGACCCTGGACGCAGGGGGAGAGCGAGATAGCTGTACCCTTCGGTGCGGTGCCGGCCCCACCAGTCAGTTGATATCACTTCGAAGAAGATTTGGAGGGGGGATGGCTCTGAAAGGGAGCGGTTGAAATATTAGTTTAAAACTGTGTGATACAAAATAAAATAGTAATAGAGACAGACTGTCCCTGATGGCTCTACGGGAGAAGATCCAATCATGGTGTCTACCATAGAGGAGTTATCGGGGAATGTTTCAGCTAAAAAAATACAGTCATCATTAAAGAAGCTCTATAACAAGTTGGAATGACCCAGTTTTTTCCAAAACGCCGATCCTGCCGTGGCCTGCGTCTCACCTAATGGAAAATGATTATCAGCTTGAAGGGGCAAGCGAGCTTCACCCACAACCACAGAGGAACTGACAGTTTAGGCAGTCTTCCCACTACGAAGCTCATCTATGACAATCTACTAAAGTTCCTTTACCTATACCTGAAACGGGGCTATTCCCACCTCTCGTTCCCACCGCTGCAACTCCTGTGTAGCCAGGACCTACAGCTTGACCGCCAATAAAAACCCAACTAGTGAAGGTCAAGTTTGTCCCGGGGGAAATTAAACTGTCAAACCTATACCTGTAACAGCATCTGCCTCCAAATGCAGCTCAATGATGTGGCCAAAGCACCACTCCTCAGTATCTTCTACCCTCAGCGCTCTGGTGACATGCGTGCGGCCGTGGACTGGCTCCGTGCATTTTATTGCGTCTGGAATCTGCACAAAACGAAGCATTTTAGCTTATTTTTTATGCAGAAAAAGGCAGGTATTTACGCCTCAAAGTGACCACGACCGCTCTGCCAAGAGCAAAACGAATAAGAAGAAGAAGGCAGGTATTTAACCGCAATCGCACCTGGTGTTAGTGAGATGCAGGTTAGTTATATCGCATTATAATCCATTAGACCAGTGGTTCCCAAAGTTGTCTGGGCTATGACTCATCTAATACAAGTTCCTAAACTCGGGACCCATCTATAGTAAATTTCGCCCGCCTGCCAAGCGGTTGGATCGATAGGGTGGTGTGTCGTTCTACAGGCAAGGCCCACTCAATGACCCATAGTGTGGGAAACCGTGCATTAGACTATAGCGGTCCATTGCTGAACAAAGGCCTCCCTTAATTTGTTCTTCTACCAGCTACCTTTTATGCTGGGAATTCAGTCATGAATATTTTGAGTCGCATAATTAATTATTTAGTCTGATGGACCGGATTAAAAAGACAGCAACGGTTGAGGCTTCGAATTCCACTGGTGACTATTTCCATCTATTTCTCCCACCTCCGCAACTCCTGTGTGGCTAGAATCTACAGCTCTACAAATGGCCGCAAAAATAATATATCAGAAGGGGAAAGCCTCGAGGTATTCGATGACGAAGACCACTATCCTCCAAATCAAATTAAGTAGCAGATGACAAACTTGTTAATAAGCCGGAGATACCTACACCACGGATAATATAGCATGGTATAGCACCAAGGGTGGGACGTCCACCCACAAGGTGGACCGACGACATCATAAAGGTAGCAGGAAGTCGCTGGACGCAGGCCGCTACCAACCGGGCAACATGGAAAGCATTAGGGGAGGTCTATGTTAAGCAGTGGACGTCCTATGGCTGAGATGATGATGATGCATGATAGCGCCAAGAAGAATACTTCAGAAAATCTTCCTAAGCAACGCACCTTGATGGTATATTCCACGTATAAGTCGTCCATTTCGAACTCCTTAGCGGTCAGTATTTCCAGGGTGAGGTGGTAGATCTTCCTCCCTAGCGAGGGCATGCAGAAGTTGACCAGCTGCTTGTGTTTCTTCTCCCATTTCTTGTGCAGTTTGTTCAGCTGAAAGAAAGTTCGCCAATGTCTGCTTGCTGCTTGGTCATTTAACGTAACTTTCGTTAAATGTAGTGTCACAAATGTTAAATGTAGTGTAGTAGACATAAGTAGGTGTTGTATTATCAGAAAAGTAAACACAGTAATAAGAAAAGTAAGTAATTAAATCATGTGACGGTAGCGAAACGCGCTAGCCACATATTTTGAATAAGGTCTAGAGTTTTTAAAGTTAGATCTAGACGTGTTAGGGCCACAGAGCACATGTGTTTAGAGTTAGGAGTAAGTCTATACCATGGGTACCATGGGCGTACCCATAGCATACAATCTGACCTTAAAAATCTGGCTTGCTCCTCCCTACGCTAGAAGTTGTGTCCTGGGTATGACTTGCCCCCTCTAGGGCAGAAGCTGGGTACGCCCATGGCTGTACCTACATAAGATCTGATAACTTTTTGATAGTGCGAGTCATATGGTCTCGTCTTATAAACATTTTACATGAAAATGGGATAATATGCATTAATTAAGAGTTTATTTCGGCTTACAAGTAGTACCTTAGTGTTATACCCTTACCAGAACAGTTAATTCCTCCGAATCCCCTGCGTCTTCAAACCTCAGCCCTATAGCGTAGTGGTAACCAAGAGGCACTCCCGCGCTTGTCTCAGCACAGTAAGGGTTCAATTCCAGCTGGTTCTCATCGGGTGAGACTAGTAAGTAGTTGTGTGTGATGTTGTGGTACACGGACACCAGTATCGCTTCCTGCTTGAAAACTAGTTGACTGTCCCTGTCGGTATTTTGAAGGCAAATGTTACGTAAGTAGTGTGAAATAAACAACGATTTTTGGTTGCGTTGAATGAGGATGATGATTATGATTGATGAGAGAGAGCCTGAAATCCTCAGTAGAATAGTTGGATTCTTTTTCAGTATAGTATATCTTGCTTCAATATTGACATTACTTTAGATGACTACAATATACCATAATTTCGGGAGATAGTGTCTATTAGTATTTTTATAAGTAAAAAACCTCAGAATGCTGAGAAAAATAAAACCAAAATGACCAACCACACTTACTCATTGTAATCTGAACTATCAAATGCAATATGCATAGCTCTCCACTCCTTATTATCAACATCTAAATTCTCTTCACTTCTGAACAAATGTCCCATAGAACTTGACTCCTTAACCAATGCTTTCTCAATTCGATCATTCAAATTTAAACGCTCAAAACATGTACTTAAATCCATTATTTTATTCCTTTTACTTTTTACATTATTTAAAGGCAATGGCAAGTGGTAATCATCGTGCACGTAAGTAAATACTTTGACCGGTTCATAGTCTAAATCGTTGAGCATATTGTGGTAAGTGAGCTCTGTATCCGTTATACAATGGTGAACATCTGAATATCGTTGGATTTCCCATAAGCTGAACGCTTTTTCTTGCCATTTAAATGTGTACTCTTCGGTTTGTTCAAACGAGTCACTGTTAATGCCATTGGACACATTTGTATAGTTTTCAAATTTTGGTAAGGACAATATTCCATTGTGTGGTTTCATTTTTACACTGAAAAGCAAGGACTATATATAATAAATAAGCAAACATTAAAAAAATCTATTAGGCAAACTTGTGCAAATAAATATGTGTACAAGCAATAATGTTTAAGTAAATACATATTCATTCAACACACATTGGCATTGCAAATAAACCAAGTTTGAACCTACCAAACAAGTACCATCAGTGTGCAATGACATATCCTTAGATTAATCTAAGGACATATCATATAAAACATCTTAGTCAGTGTGCTTCAAATTCGCACCATTGAAGCCATTAAACAGAATAATAATAATATTTTTTCATTTATTTAGTGGTTTTTCGTAGCTTACCTTATTCTTAAATTATCTATAGGCTCTTTTAGCCAGTGAACACCAGATATCTTGTTTGTACGCTTAAAATCATGCATATTTTTAGTTGGCTATAGATTTTCTAAACACCAATCAAATTGAGGAAGATGAATGAAATTATATAATACGTATTAATCGAAAGTTTTTCGAACTCTACTAGTCTGAAGTCACAGGCTATTGCTAATAGTATAAATTATTTGCAAACAATTCAACAAAATTTTATTGTTCGGACTCAAAAGTTTTTGTTTACTTCACTGTTAGCTTCCTGTCATAGTGGTTACTATGGCAACCGCAACCATGGCAACGATCACGGCGTTTCGTTTCACCTGTTTACTATTTCAATTTTATTTATTTTTAATCGTCCAAGAAACTTAGCATTTTTCAATTAACTATAAATAACTAATGATATCAACAGCTCATCTCAATATTTTCTAAAAATAAATAAAAAGTCAAATTTCGGAATCAGTCAGTCCTTATTGACGTTGTATATTGAACAAAATTAAATAAGGTACCTACCTTGCACGTGATTGGCTGACTAAATCAATGTCATAAATTCGCCAATCATGTTGAAGTTTTGTAAGCTATTAACGAATAGTAGTACGTTTTGATTTAATCGGATTAGAGAAATATGTAACAGAAAGCTAACGTTTAGAGCACAAAAAATTAAAAACGTCAGTTGCGAGCTATCCGTGTGGGGGTTATGTTGTTTCTTCTCAAGAAATAATAATAAATACCGACGTTTATTGAACTTATCACACATTTTTTTCCGGATTTCTTATCTTATCGCTATCGTCCAAGTGTGAATCGATCATGAACAAACTTAGCCTTGCCTTCTAAATGCCGATATTGTGATGTGCTACTTTGGTCAATAATTTTTGCATTTCTTGTTTTCGTGGTTGTTAGTCACGCGTGTAAGTAAATTATAAAGTGAAAATGCCTTCCGGGCAGAGGGAAACCAATGTTTCCATACCGCTGACACCTACAAGGTCGGATCTGTATTGGCGAAGAATATTCAACAAGGTTAGTACCTACACTATCTTACAAATTAATGAGGTATCAACATAAAAAAAAAACTGCACCAAAATGTAAGTAAAATAGGTCATAATGTGTCACCGTGCTGATACACCAGGAGACCACTTTAACTCGTTTTAATAACTTTTACTTTTTTTTTTTCAAAACATTTACATTTTTTTATGATTAAAATGCTCCAATTCTACTGCAGTGATTGTTTATAAACTTGTGTTTTAAACAGTTATATGCCTTAAACAGTTATAGCCATAAATGTTCTATTCCTATCTTAGAAATGTGTGATGAAATTACCTTGGTAATTATTCAGGAGCCAGGAACTATGCCTTTTTACAGTGTATAACAAATACCTACTTAATTTCTGCACAAATGTACAGTAAAGAGTTCAAGCAGGTCAAATCTTTTAGCATCATTACTCACTTTTTGAAAGTAACTTACCTACCTAAATATAGCTTGTGTTCTTTGTATTCATTATGATAAAGTTATTTTGTTTAGTATAGGAACTAGTGTTTTTAATTAATGTTTCCTCGCTTCTATCAAACACAAATATACATATTATTACTGCCTCTAATTTGTTGATTCTCAAATTGATAAAATTACCATCTAGGAACTAGTATAGTTTGCTGAAATTTTTTGTGTGAATTCAGAATTTCATTTTAGTAATTTTATTTAAATTATTAGTTATAAGATAGTTTTAATAGTATCTTATAACTAATAATTTCACCTTATCTCTATTTACTACATTCCGTAATCTCGTAATCTAGATGTATTAAAAACTAAAACTGGGAAACCTACAAGAATTCCACCAGCTAGTAATGAATGTACTACTCGCAATTTTTATTTTTGCAGTAGTATTGGCACCGCTCCAAGATGTTTTTATCAGCTGAATAAATCTTCTGAAGTAACTGGTATTGACAGATACGTTATGAATGTTCAGATAGTATAGTAAAAATAAAATATTTAACATTATACCTATGTATTATGTAAATTTGAATAGATAAAACATCAGGGTTCGAAAATATCCTTATGATATATATCTGATAAATATCATAAATATCGGATATTTTCGAACCCTGATAAACATACCCACTATAGAGGATATAAACATACTATACATAGACTAGAGTACAGGACCACAATACCTTTACAAATGAGTAACCTTTTGAAATATCTTTTAAAGGTTTTTTAAATATCAATAAAAAGATTGATTTTATTTTTGCATCTTCATCAACTCAAAAGTTAACGTAATTTGCTTTGGGAAAACCAGAGTTTGAGTGAACTCGAAGAGTCAGATATAGATTAGACAGATAATAATATTATTATGTATTTTATATGTGTAATACTCATATGTATGCAAATTATATTGCTTAGTGGTAACAGGTTCTTCAAGTTTACTACTTTTCCTTCCTTCACAAATTCTCAATGATAGTAATAAAATACTGGATGTTAACTAACAATCACATAGAGATATTAATTAATTAATTAATCTATTTTTATAAAACATGGCCAAACTGGAAATGATTGGTAGTTTAGGCAATAAAATTCAACTCTTGTGGTCTCTGTGTTAGCTTCAAACAATCAAAATGGAGTTTTCCCTAAAATAAATTTAACTCTGCTGTGATCAGTTTTATATTGTGTTAGGCTCTATTTTTAGTATTACTCGTCTACACTAATATTATAAAGAGGAAAACTTTGTTTGTTTGTAATGAATAGGCTCAAAAACTACTGGACCCTTTTTAAAAATTCTTTCACCATTCGAAAGCTACATTATCCACGAGTAATATAGGCTAAATTTTATTTTGGAAAAAATAGGGTTCAGGCGGAAAGCTAGTAGGTATGTTATAATCAGCAAACCACAGCTAGTGGTAGGGTTTAACTGGTACCTATATTTATAGCGCTTTATAAAAACGTATTAAAAGGTTAAATGACTTTTTGAAAGGCGCATAAATAAACTAATAAAGAAAGAATAAATAAAGAAGTAAAATCCATTTCATAAGTCTTCCGACTGGAAATTTACCATTATTATTAGGCTGGAAAACGCAACAATCAAACGGACAGAAAGAACTACTTTCGCATGTAATGATGACATAGTAGGTATACTACTCTAGACGCAAATCTTCCCACGGCGATTATTCATGTCCACAACTAGGCTCTGCATCCACTTATTTCCGCCAGAGTTGATCTCGTAACATACGCGGAGCTGTTACTAATTACTTTGTTAATTATTTAACAAGCTGTTAAAAGAGGCGTCTAGAGTATTTCCAAGATATCTTGCAGCTTGCTAGCAAGAGATAGAAGTCTCTCAGAATATCTTCAAATTACAAAAAAAACGGGTGATTCCTGATGCAGTCTCAGAAACAAAGAACTCCCTCCCTCCTATGGAAATCCCTAGATACTCGTTGCTGTAGCAATCGATCAGTCACTAGGTTACTTGGCAAATACCTACTTGCTAAACGAACTTTTTTGAATCTTGTTTATTTTTAGACAAGGCATCTTTTTAGTATCAGGCGATAGATAAAATTAACTTAGCTTAAGATTTCCGCTAAGTGACGCCGGCATAAGGCATCACTTGTCTCATGTCTGTGTTACCTACTTAAACTTAGGTAAACAATGCAGAACACTGTCTTAATATAACTTGGTCTTGAAATAATTCCGGGTCATTAGACCCAGACTCCGTTCAACTCACAGTAAATCTGGTTCAACATTTAAAAATGCCTCACGTAGGAAGCGAACTCACGATCTCTCGTTTACCAGGTGACTCTAACCACTGAGCTACATACATGTGAACCAGCCCCAGGATCGTTAAAAGTTCCAAAGTTTAGCTCCTGGACTATGATAATCGGACTCAAGAGTCACTCAAAGAGAAGCTCCAAGAAGGGCCGGATGCATTTTGATTTTGTGGTAAAACGAGAAAAAAAATCAAAGGAAAAGTTGTTTACTAGTCTGAATTTGAAATTTCTTTTTCGAAGTCTATTGTGTGTGGCCCTCATTTGTGGAAGCCCCGGGGCTGAAGCTCCAGTTGCCCTCTCCTAAATACGGCCCCCAAGAAAGTAAGCTTCGACAGTATATTAAGTTCAGAGATAAGCTACGTACGGGCACACCAGCATCGCCAATACAGGGACTAAGAGTCTAATGCCGGTATTCACAAACATTACTATGAGGTCTCACAGTGCGCGTGGAGGGGTCACACACGAACCAATCACAGAGCTCTATTCAACGCTGTGCGTTCGATTTGCTGTTTCACATAAGCATTTGCATAAGATCATTTGTGTACGGGTTTAAGTGGTCACCATAGCCGAAATAGGTCGGATGAATCATCATCATCAGGTTTCAGGGAGCCAATCATAGTTCCTAGGATACCCATGACTGACTCACTCAACGGGAAGATATTAAAGATAACAAACGATAGTCAGCGTCACAAGTGACAGTGATCGGTTAGTCATAGCATCATGAGTAACTGGAAGTGGCATTTCATGGGAAATCCCCTAACATTTGCACATGGAGATCATCTTTTGATTTGCATCTGTTAAAAAATAACCCACACACGTGCGAAGAATAAAGGATTTTAACTGACGTAAACATTACTGTGAAGTTGTTCCAAAAAGACAATGGGACTTGGCCAAATGGAATAGTGTTTTGTTTTACTTTTCTGTGTAGCTGGTCGTAATCTGATTTTGATCATTTAAGGTAAGCAATATTGATTCTAGTACCTACCAACGTAATCAAAATGAAATTTTGCGTAAAAGAATAATCACATCATGCATTCCCAATAACTTACGCGTTAACAATATTAGTAGGTAAATAAATTAATAAATGTAATTAATTTTGCAATCTATCATAATATTTGGAATTCCCTAAAACGCAGACAGTAAATTATATTGTCTGCGTTACAGATTCCATCGATGTAAAATGTAAATACATCGATCGATTCTGTAATCATGCGCTTATAAGAGCGACCGATACATAATGTACCTATGATTAAAATTACGAGTATCCTTATCTAAAAATATAAAGTACATAGATAGCGTAACAACTGCAGTGTACGGTGAATTTATGGCAATCGTTTGAGGTTCGACCATGAATCATAATTACAAATTGCCTATCATTTTATGAACGTATATTTTCTGATGCTATACTACTGTAAAATTCGAAGCAGTCTACTTAGGCTCGTGTAGACGGTAGACAGATCTTTCATTCATCATCATCATCATCTCAGCTATAGGACGTCCACTGCTGNGCAGTCTACTTAGGCTCGTGTAGGTAGACGGTAGACAGATCTTTCATTCATCATCATCATCATCATCATCATCTCAGCCATAGGACGTCCACTGCTGGACATAGGCCTCCCCCAATGCTTTCCATGTTACCCGGTTGGTAGCGGCCTGCGTCCAGCGCCTTCCTGCTACCTTTATGATGTCGTCGGTCCACTTTGTGGGTGGACGTCCCACTGCTGCGTTTTCCGGTACGCAGTCTCCACTCCAGAACTTTGCTGCCCCATCGGCCGTCAGTTCTGCGTACTATGTGCCCTGCCCATTGTCACTTTAGCTTGCTAATCCGTCGGGCTGTCAGCGACTTTAGTTCGTTTACGGATCTCATCCTTTCTGATTCGATCTCGTAAAGAAACTTCATTTTGATCTTTCATTACCAGTTGTTAAAGTTCAGACAGAGTCAGTTAACCACTGCTTCCCCCAAAGCACGAAGTCAACCACTGCCAACATCATCATCATCAAGTTATTTAGTCTCCACTGGGAAAGCTCGAACAGCTTCTCTAATTTATCCAAGGAAAATGGAGGATTAGGCCTTCACTGCCCACGCCGAAGTATTAGGGAGGCTGTCACTGCCAAAAAAAAAATATATTCGTCGCTTTTTCAAGATTTTGAGGGTTCTCTACCATGCCTAGATGCGGTATCTACTCTCTACACAAGAATTCGCTGACCCCATTATTATCATCATCAGTACCAGGCATTTGATCGGCGTCGCCAATCGAAAACTTT